TTGCAGGGGGGGGGGGTGAAATCCATCCCTCCCTCCCTCTTTCTTCTTTCCTCCCTCCCTTTCCCCGTCGCAACCCGGAAGAGCTCCGCTCTCCACAGTGAGCGGGGGAAGGCGGAGGGGAGGGGGCTCCGGGGAAGGATGCGCAGCACCCAGGTTTTGCATCTCGCTGGAAGCCCGCCTGAGATGCGGTGAGCCTTCCAGCAGCGAGGACGCGGCGGCGGCCACTGGGAGAGCTCCGCCTGTCATTTTTGCCTTCAGATCTCTGCGGCAAGTGGGGGTAAAAATAAAAAACAGCTGGCCCTCAGGACCGAGCTGCCCAGGTCAGTGAATACACATCTCTTCCCTCTCTCACTCTGCACGCCTTCTCCCTGCTGCACGTGGAGAGAATTAGGAGGAGGTCTTGCTCCAAAGGGAAGGCTGCTTCTGGAAGAAAGTGAACTAGACCAGTCCTTATTGTGCTTTCCGGTCACTGGAAACGTTTGGCTTTCTGCAGTGACCTTGGGTGAGTGTGGTGTTTGAGTGTGTGGATGTCCTTGTTTGGGGGAAAGACTAGTAGAACCGAGAAAGCAAAGACAAACTGGGCAGATAGGATACAGCCGGTGGGAACGCTTGGGAGGGGCTGAACACACATTTCCCAAAGCAGGGAGGGCATAGGCTTGGCGAAAATAACCCATGTGCCCAGGAGCCTTCTCCTGGAGGTGGGTTCAGTGCTCAAGTGTCAATTTCATGTTTATTTTCCTTGCATAGGAGTGTGTGTTTAGCCTCATTGTCCCTGTATATAATTAAAGCAACAAATGTACACTGTAAGATAAAGTTGGAACGCAGATGTATAGGCATCTGGCCCCTTGGGCATGTGGTGGTTTGGAGGAGGCATCTTTACTTCCAGAAGCACCAGAGGTGGGTGAGAAAACCACAGAAGGTGGCCAGGGCTGTGAAGAGCTGAAGGGACAGTGGGAACAACATTTGGACTTTAAGGACACTGGACTCCAAACCTGGTGTGGAGGTAGTTCCTCCTATAGAGTGGTAATGTGAAACGTTGCTCGTATACACTTCTTCCTCTTAGTCACGACCACATGCCTGAGGAAACTGGTGTGGGTGATTCTGTCTAAAGCAGGGGTGGAAGTGAATCTATTTGCAGCATTTTTTCCCTCTGGATTTGCTTCCCATATTTTCTGGTCCTTCTCTCCTCCCTACACATCCCACATTCACCAGGACTCTGGGGTTGCAGATGGGAGAGGAAGAATCTGAAGGAACAAATAACACAGAAGCATTTTTCTGGTCCTTCTTGCTCATGTGTTGATCTCTGATGCCGGGCTGCAGGCCAGGAGTCCCAGCCGGGGAGGTTGAGTCCATTCAGGTGTCTGTAAATGAGATGTGTGCCACCCAAATTGCTCTTTGAGAGGGGGATGCTTACCCTTAAATGGCGTGCCACTGGAAGAATAGAACTGTTTTCTGCTAGTTTGAACTTGGGTCCAGATGTGGTGTCAGTTCAGACAGACCAAGCCCCAAGTGGGTGCCAGTTCGTGAGGGCTGTGATTACTGACTGACAGGGATAAAGCGGAGAGCTCAGCTTCCAGGTTCAAGCCAGTTGTATCATGAGGCCTGAGGTTTCTGGCCCAAGAAGGCAGCTGGGCTTGGAGGGTACAGTTAGTGGCTTAGGTCGTCAGCCCACCTTCCTTTCTATCCAAGCTACCTGTGCCAGCACCAGGATAGTGGTGCTGTGGCTGCTGTATCCCCACTAAAATACTGAATGCTGGGAGATCTGTATTTCTCCTTTTATTCTGTTCTCTTCCTCTTCTTCCTCCTCCTCATCTTGTTCTTCTGCCTCTTTTTTCACTCTGCCTTCTTGCAGAAGATCTGTGGAGTAGGGGTCAGGCAGGGGTGCACTGAAGGTGTGGGAGAGGAGCCCTGCACTCATGGCAGAGTTCTTCTGTTGGGATGCCAGGAACCACACAGAGTACCCGGGAAAGCCTGAGCACCCCCCTGACGGTTTGTCTCCTGAAACTATAAAAAGTGGCAGAGAGTTGGGGATCCTGATTACATTTGTGGGTCCAAGTGGAAGACAGTCTCTGTTCTCTAGTACTAGGTTATTTTAACGGTTTCTAGGCTGGGCCAAGGTAATGTCTCATTCTTGGTGTCTGAGCCATTTTACACATACACGTCTGTTTCTCTCCTGGACATTCTGTGTGCAGACCAAATACTTTTCAGCGTCTTTTTAAATGACTGGAATAAGGAGAGAGAGGTTTAGCAAATGTGGGGTGGGGAGCCAGGGGTCCATTCTGCTTGGCTACTGGGCCCATTTGACTTGCAGGTGTTCTTGGCTGGGTGCAATAGTCAGATAGGAAAAGGAAAAGGTTGCCAAGCCGCCCTGACTAAGTCCCCGGGATGTTCACGGCGGAGGGTCTGCAAGCGCTAGCGAAACAGAGGCAGATGCTTCTTCTTGGTGTTTTATTTTATGTAACAAATCACTAGAGATCCAGGAGGTGGCAGGCGATGGAGATGCTTCTCCCTGGCCGGAGAAGCAGCAGCCAGAGGACTGCCCCGCCGGCTGGATGGCCAAGCGAAGGGAATGCGCGAACGCTTCCGCTTTGCACCTCGGAGCCGCGCACACTGGCGGATTTTGTTGTGCGTCCTGCAGCGTGCTTAGAGACTGGCAAGATTCTTGCTTAGGAAAGCCCACCTGTCCTCTTTCCAGGATCTGCACAGCATTGCCCTCCTCACATCTCCCCGACCCCTGCTGCGAACACCCCCCACCAGACTCCAGATTCCTACGGTAGCAACAATCACATTCCTCTGGCTGATCTAGAAGAGTAAAAGCAAAGATACCCCCAAGACAGAGCCCACCTTTTCTGTCTGAGATGCCAAGTGAGAGCGGCTAAAGCTAGAGGCTAAGGCGAGCGCTAGAGGCCTTGAAGATGGGTAATCATGAAGTAGTGTGCTACAGCCTCGGAAGCTGGCAGGAGGTGTGTGGAGAGGCGGCCTCAGGTCCACGGGCACCTCCTTTCACCCGAAAAATGCTAGGACCTGGGCGCCAGGTCCACAGCCCAAGGTGCTCCCGCGGTTCGGCCTGACAGGCCTGCAGGAGAGGCCAGGTCTAGAAGAGCGAGTCCTGACTACTTGGAGAGGTGCGGCCGCCTGGATGAGGGAAGGCTCAGCATCCCACGGCTCGGGAGACAGGTGCCACTAGGACACCTCCATCCCTTCCTCTTCTTCTCAGGCTTCCACCTGTTCCCCAAACCTACAAGGCCGAGAGGGAAGGAGGGCAGGGAGGTGCAGCCTTCCTGCAGGGTGACTTGAATTCTTTTCAATCCACTCTCCAGGGGAGCTCTTTCCTACCCAACCCCGCCCTTCCCCCCCCACCCCCGCCCTTTCACGTGAGCATTGTTAAACCCTAAAGCAGAAATCCCCTGTCTTCTCTGGGTCCATCTCCCCCATTCTGCTATACCCCTACCTACCTAATTTTTTATCTCGCTATGATCAGGGGTTTTCTCAACCAGGGGGAAAAGGCGGTAGGGGAGGTGGGAGGGCCAGCATCCCTCGAAGCTGGGGACCCCCGCTGCGGCTGCGGCTGGGGGCGGAGTGCGAAGGGGTAATCTTCCAGCGCATCTCTTCTCTCTTTGACTCCACATAGCTCTCCGCTCCTCCTGGCCTGGGCGGGTTTCCTTCCGAGTTTTAAACGGTGACAGATGAATAAGCAAATAACAAAGAAAAAGGGGTAAATCAAACTACATTTCACTGCGAAAGTGGTGGCTCATTCCACACGGACGGAAGACCCCAGGCCCGAGCTGTTGCGCGTGGGAGACGGCAGGAGAATTGCGCATACGTATATAGCTCCTTTCCTCCGAGTTCCTACGGGTTCCCCTCTTGGACGCGTCCACCTCCAGCATCCTCCCGTTGACAGTGAGTTTTGGACACCTCCCCCCCCCCCCCCCCGCCTTCCATTTCCCCAAAGTCCTTGCTTGCTGTGTTTTATTTAAAAAGGATCAATCTTGCTGAGCCGGAGTCCTCAGCCATCACTAGGATTCTCATCACGCTGCGATTTCGCTCTCTGCATTTCAGTTCACGCGGGAAAGAGAAGGAGGGCACGGGTGGGAGCTGCAGGGATATATAATATGGTTTAATCTGTGCAGGTCGGGTCGCTGCGCCGGAGAGGGCTCCCCCGCGGTTCCGTCTGCGCAGCCTGGCCCGCTGGTGGCGCCTAGGGCCGTGTCCCCGGCGTAACCCTCCCGCCCGGCAGCCGGAGAGCTGTTTATACAGCTTTACCTGTGCTATTCCCGTAACCAGTAAAAATCCTTGCCCGGCCACGGTAACCTAATCCCGGGGCCGAGGAAAGGAGGGGGTAGTGGGACTCCGGAGGAGAGGGAGGTGTGTACGTGCAATAAACTAGGGTCTCTCTTTTGCACCTCTTTCCCTATTGGGAATGAAATTCGGACTTGGTCTGGGTGGTCGAGGAGGGATTCTGGGATAAGGAGAAAGGAAACTGGTTTCTATGCCGCGGTTCTCCGGTTTTTTCTCCCTCTAACAGGGGCGCGCTGCTAGAAGGCACCACGATTTTAGGGGCATCTGGCAGAGCTTTTGGAGGCCGGAACAGGTTTCTTGCCGTAGCCTGGCTCACGTTGCTCTCGTTCCAGTCGCCCTCCTTTTAACTCTCACACCTAAAACAAAAAGCGCAAGGAAAGAAACGGGCTTCTCTCCAGTTCTCCAGGGAAGCTGGTATCAGTCTTTCTAAGCGCCTGGCGGAGACTGCAGCAGGCGCACGGTATCGAATTAAACGCTTCTTGGTGCTTATTGTCTCCAGCTAATTGCCCTAACAATGGGCACTGTAAAAATGGAGACACCCAATTAAAGGCCTAGCCCTGCTGCGCTCGGTAGCCCACGAGAATCTGGGCCGGGTCTGAGGCTTGCAGACCGCGGGGGCGCGCGCCCGGCTGGCAAGGGGCTCCGGCGCCGGCCTCGACACCTCTGGCCTCCATTTCCTCCCCAGACGCTCTGCTACCACGACCGTTTCACACCATTTTTATTGACCGATCGCAGCCAAGGAAGATTGATCGAGCTGGAATGGGAAGGGACTTCTCCCCCAGCCCAGGCTCGCCAGGGCCGCGGGCCTTGCTCCCCTTTGCTGCCCTTTGGAGCTGCTCGGAGCCCTCCCCGCCCCCCAGCCCCGCAGGTTCCCGGCTTCATTTCAGTCCTTAACAGCACGGCTGGGTCCGCCCAGGCCGGCGCCGCGGCTCCAGGGGGAGGGACGCGGCGGCGCGGTCCGGCTCCGCTTCTTTCTCCCGCCTGCAAATATTTGCTGCCTCGCTGGAAATCCGACTATTTCGCGCGCGCTCGGCTTGCAAAGTCCTTAAGTAAACACGCTCAAATGACCGCCCCGGGCGGTCTGAGGCACGCTCTCTACCCCTGAGCCAGATTAGTAACTTTAGGACTTCAACCCCGAGGCTCCGCGTTCCTGGTTACCCTCGGCGGGCTGCGTTCGCGCCCCAAGGCAGCCTCTTCCCGCACCGCGGCCCCGCGGAGCTCGCCTGGTCGCGCCAGTCGCCAGGTTCGGGTGGGTGTTGCTGGCCGCGTGGGTTTCCGCTGAGTCCACGACGCCAGGGCTGAGGCTGCGGAACCCGCTCCACCTCCTTGCGCCAGGGACTCCGTTTCTGCGGGGACTAGGGGTTCCCCACTTCCACCGGATAGGGTCTCCGTGCCTCGGGGAGGGCAGGTGGGAGGGACCTGCACAGGGGCATGTGTTTGGGGGTGTGTGAGTGGGTGCCAGCTTGCCCTAATCGAGGAGGGGAAGTTAAGCCTCCATTTCTTACCCTTTCCCCAAGAGGGCACACATACCCCGCTCAACTTGAAGCCTAAAGCAGCCGCCTTGAGGCCTGGGGTTTCAGATAGGCCAAAGTGTCGCCAGTTGTCCCACACTCCGCACCAGAGCCCGCTCTTCGGAGGGCGGTGGCTGCACCTCGCTTGACTCCGGGGTGGAGGTCCCAGGCGTTCAGGGCCCTGGCCAGCCCCTTACCTAGAAAGGGGAGGCCTCGTGCGATACCCGAGCCCGTGCTCTACTGTTAGGGCGACGGCGGCAGCATCCTTCTCGGTGGCCTCCTCTGTCCCCCGGAGCTCTTCCCGCTGCTCCCAGGGAGGGGGCGTCTCTCTGGACCCTGCAGAGGCCCGGGTGCCTGAGAAGGGGCGCAGCAGGTCTGCGGGAGGGCGCAGAGGCGTCTCCGCGGGAGGTCAGGATAGTTTTGTGGGCTCTGGCCACGGGAGAATCAGGACCACCTTTCCCTCCTGCCCCGACCCGGAGTCCCCTCCCCTCCCCCGCCGCCCGCCGAGGAGGAGGAGGAAGCCCGGCCTGCATTTGCTAGCGAGGCGGGTCAGGCCGGCGCCGGGCCGGGCCCAGACCCCAGCCGCCCGCCCGGCTCTCCGCCTCAGGCCACGCGCCGCAGCCGCTCCGGCCGCGCTCCCTTCCCCCTTCCTTCCCCGTGGGTCCGGGGGCCGACCTCAGCCCACCCTCCCGGGCCTCCCCCTCCCCTTCTTGCCCTCCCCCCGCTCTGTGTTCCTGACTCTGGGGCTGGGCCCGTGACGTCAAACCCAGTGTGGCGTCGGCGAGACTGGCCGGCGCGGGCCATCAAAAGAGCAACGTCCTCTTTCCCAATTACCCACTGTCAGTCCGGGAAGAGGGGCGGACCGGCTGGGAATTACATGTTAAATACCCCCTACAGGCTGGCTCCGTTACCCTGGGCCTCCAGTCTCAGGCCCCCCACCCCTCTCCGCCTGCCCCAAACCACCCAGTCCGAGGAGCTTTCAAGACCTTTTATTTTTCTAGGGAGGGGTGCGAGTGTGCCTTTTCCACTCCACTGCGGTCCTACTTGGAGGTGACTGAGTTAAAACGAATAATCCCTGCTCCTGCCGCCACCAAGGTACCACATAGGCACCCTTTCAGCTGAAGACCACCTCTCACCAACATTTTCTTTTTGCCTTTTAACATCATTCTTAGATTCAGAAGTTAACATTTTCAAATCCTGGAGTCTATTTTTTGTTGTTGTTGGTTTGGAAGATGGCTCCTTTTTGCCCTTTCTGGGCTTCTCAGTCCATGTTCCCAGAACCAACACTCAACTCAACGCTTAGAATTTCTGGGGAGCTGCGAACTAGGGTCAGGGTGGTTGGTAGCCACAACCTGAAGGTCACGCACGAAGAAGCATTTCTCATTTTTTCTTACAATTTCCATCCTTAATCTTCATCCCTGGCCTTCTTTCCTTGTCTCTCCTTGTTTGTGGACTAGTTTCCGGAGAATGTTAGACAGCAGCTGAATAATTAAAACGTTTTGAGAGCGCCGTGAGCTGGAGGAGAGGCTGGCAGTTTGGCCCAGGAGAGATGCGTGGTCAAAGAGTGAAAGGAAAATCGATGCTCCTTTACCGGGAGCCCTTTCCGGAGACCGACTAGGTGCACGAGCAACGCGGGTGGAAGAATTTATTTTTAAATTTAGGGATTTTTTTTCCTGTTTTATATGTAGAAAATCAACTTTAATTTCAAAAAAGCATCAGATTTTTAAAAAGAAGGGCCAAATCCAAGACTAGAGGGACCCATTCTGCCAAACACATCTCCCAGTCTTTCTATAAGGACTGCGTTTTTAAAAAAGGGCCTTTTCCACGCACACAGCTGAAGCTGACTACTGATGTTTTCTCTTCATCGTTTGAGGACTCCTTCAGAACTGACGAGGGATGGCTTCTCCTGTACAGTATAGAGAATTCGTGAGGAATTTTATGAGTAGAGGAGTAAAAGAGAGGAAATAACGTCTTTCAAATGATCTTCCAACTCTAGTTCTCAGACCAGTCAAATAGGAAAGCGTCAAGGAGAACCCACATCCGCTCCTCGCAAGTACTGCCCTGCGCTAGACCTAGTCTTCTTTTCCCGCCTGACCCGGCAGCACAGGCCGCACTTTTGGGCTGCTGGTTGCAGGAGCCTCAGCGCCGCTAGGGGATGCAGTGGCTCAAAAGACCGAACGCGGCCGCAGAGGTTGCAGCCCGCGGGGCGGACCCATCGAGGCCTGGTCACAGCCCCGCCCGATGATTGGTTCTCCCTTGGCCCCGCCCCACTCAGCCCCGCCCTCCCTTGGGCGTCCCGGAGCCGCGCTCCCTTCGCCCGGGGCTGCGCACTGGGCAGACCCTGTCCGCGAGACCTGGATTCCTGCAGGGGTCCCCGCCGCGTCCCACCCGGGAGCCTAGGGTGAAGGTCGGTGGAGGGGACCAGCTTCCTAGGCCAGGGGAGAAACGCCAGGAGCCGGAGGAAGGGGGGGAACCAGGCAGGGCGAAGGGTAAAGTTTGGTAACTGGAGTTTCACCTACCTACTTGGGTCGTATTTTGGCGCAGGCTCGAGCGAGGCTCCATCTCCCCTCCCCGCTGTCATCCATCACTATTGTCACTCAAGTTGAAAGCACACATCGATTACAAATATTATTAGGGCTGCAAAGGACAGCTGCAACAGCTGAGACATTTTCACAGTAGAGACTTGTGAAAACTAAAAGCCGAAGGGAAAAAGAGTGACGACAACAACAAAAAAAGATTCCTGATTCCTCAACATTTTAAGAAACTGGGCCAGGGCCGGGGGAGGGGTGCCGAACTTAACCTGAGCATGAAACATTTATTTTTTTTTTCTGATTACTTTAACATGCACATAACCCCCAGTTGATAAACTCTCCCAAATTCCTCAGATTGACTAATAGTAATAATAATAAACGTCTGTCCATTTAAAAATCTAAAAAGGAAAAGTCTGCCTGGTGGAAATTAACTTTATGAATGGGGCAGGACAGTTTCAACGGGATGGAATTGTCTCCCTAGCTAGAATGAATCGGCAGGAGCCGAGGCCACATTTAAAGGGCCAGAGCGCGAATTCCCTCGTGCGCGCCCCTCCGCCCTTCGCCCCAGCCGGCCTCGCCCACCCTGCCCGCCGCCCCTCCGCCCGCGGCCGCCCTCCGCGGCGCCCCTTTCCGGTCAGTGGCGGGGCGGGAGGAGGGGCGGTGGGGTGGGGGTGAAGTCCTGGAGCGGGTTTGGGTTGCTGTTTCCTTGTGCCGGGGATCCTGTCCCCTCCTCGCCAGCGCCAGGCTCCTCCCCCTCGGCGCGGATGACACTAGAACCTCCTTAAGTTGCGTCGCGCCACAGCTGTCTGTGAACACTGAGCTGCCTGGCGCCGTCCTGATACTTTCAGAAAGAATGCATTCCCTGTAAAAAAAAAAAAAATACTGAGAGAGGGAGAGAGAGAGGAAAAGAGAGAGAGACGGAGAGAGCGCGAGACAGAGCGAACTACGCAATCTGACCGAGCAGGTCACACGCCTCCTCCTCCTCCTCCTCTCCGCTCCTGGCTACCCAGGTTAGTACTGTGACTTTTTTTTTTTTTTTTAAGTTTGATTCAACCCTCCTCTCCCTCAACTCGGGAGGACTTTTTTTTTTTTTAAATTAAAACGCAGGTCTGCCTTTTTTGGGACGGTTTCTAGTGGCTGGAAGGAAGATCGGGAGACTGGGGTCCCCGAGGGAGGGACTTGTTCTCCCAGTTATAACCATTGGATCCGTCCTGGGATGTCCTCGGAAGGCCAGCTGTCCCTCTGGCGGTGTCCTCGCGCGCTTGTGCGTGTTCCTGTCCCCGTGCGCTGGCGGGCGGATCCAGGGGCGGTGGTCACCACCAAAACTCAGGTGCTCAAGTGCTTACCAACTTGTTCAGATCTCTCCTTCTTTCCTTGCAGGTGACTCTGGGCGCTGAGGAGCCCTGGTGCAGAGAGGAACCCTACTCGCAGAATTCCAGCATCTCACTCCCCATATATATATATATATTTTTTCAATTTGGTCCTAGTTTTTAGATTTGTTTCCCCTTCCTCTTCTTTTTGTGAAACTATTCCTTAGAGATTCCCTGTACTCTCCAAAGCTTCTCCTTTGCTCACCTTTCCTTCCCAGTCTTTCTAATCCCTCCTGAAAGCAGACCGTTAAACGACCCCCCAGCCCGGCCCTCCGACGGCCGGAGCCCGCGGACCTCCCAGGCCGACCGCCCTCCCTCTCCGCGCGCGGGTTCCGGGCCCGGCGAGAGGGCGCGAGCGCAGCCGAGGACATGGAGGTGACTGCGGACCAGCCGCGCTGGGTGAGCCACCACCACCCCGCGGTCCTCAACGGGCAGCATCCGGACGCGCACCACCCCGGCCTCGGCCACTCCTACATGGACCCGGCGCAGTACCCCCTGCCCGAGGAGGTGGATGTACTTTTTAACATCGACGGTCAAGGCAACCACGTCCCGTCTTACTACGGCAACTCGGTCCGGGCCACGGTGCAGAGGTACCCTCCGACCCACCACGGTGAGTGCGCTCGCTCGCTCGGGTGCGGGACCCTCGCTCCCTAGCGCGCCCGCCGGCTCGGTCGGGGAGGTTGGGAGGACTAGGTTTGGGGAAACTCAGCGAAAGCCCCTCAGTGCAGTTACTAGTTATTTTACTGAAAAAAAGAAAAGAAAAACTGGGGCCCGGAAATGGGCGAGGAAGCCGCCTCGCTCGTTGCGAGAGTGTGTTTTTAAGTCTCGGCAGACGTTTCTCCTGGCTGAGGTCCCTTGGCCCGGCGCTCACCTGGCACGCCCGGCGATGCAGCCCTCTGTCCCCGCAGGTTAAGCGCCCTGGAGGTCCCAGGCGCGGGAAAGCCAGGCTCTGCCTCCGCGGGCCGGAGGCTCCGGGCTGGGCAGCCGACGCCGACCCAGCCGGCTTCAGACTCCGCACTTCCACAGGTTTCGCGCTCCCAGATTGCCTGCAATTTCCTTAGTGGAGCTTCTGCCCGGTGACCCCGTTTTTGTTTCTCCCGGCACATTTTTCAGAGAGGCCCAAGAGACGTTATTTACTTCCCAGTTCACTCCTTGAGTTTTCCCCGCCAGCTAGTGCATTTGATTTTTAGGTTCCTCACCTAAAAATAGCCAGAAATGGAATTCTGGTGCTTGACTCGGTTTAGGGGCAAAGCCTTGAATTTGAGGAATTTTAGGTTTCCTAGTTTCCCGGCTGCACAGAAATTTTCCTGCGTCTTTGATTTCAGGTTGTCTCATGCCTGCCACAGCTCTCGCCTTATTCTCTGCTCTGGCCTACCACAGCCCTCTTACTTTACTACGGAACACTTAGGATATAATAGGTTTCTTTTTAAGAAAGAGCATTCTAGATCTGTTTGCCCCCTTCACCCTGACTTTAGGAGTTTGGAAATGTAAAGAGAGCAACCTAACTCGGTAGTTAGGAGTGAAAAGCTCTAACACTTTCCAGCTGCAAATTTGTTTCTAAAGAAGAAATAGTAAAAATTCAGAAGGAGAAACTATGAGGTTTTCAGTCTGGCCAGGGTAAACCTGGTTCCCTTACTCAGAGCTGGCTTTGGCGTGGATAACACGGCCCCTCCGGCAGCAGGAGTCCCCTGCCCTACAGTCACCAGGTTTTAAACAATTGTTTTTGCGGATGGGGCGCTCTTTGCCCATATTCTGTGCTGATCAGCAGTTAAGTGGCAATGCGTAGATGTAGACCTAATATTATTTACTATACTACTTCCTGCATAAGCTGAATCTTAACCCTTGGTGTTCAGCGAACTCTTCATTCGCCTCTACTCCCCTCCCCTTCCTCTCAAGATGTTAGTTTCAGTATTGTTCTCAGTGGTTGAATAGAGTGTTAACTGGTAGGCAGGTACTGGATTAAAAGATCAATAAGTGCTTGGATTTGCACTTCCAATTTAAACAAACCTCTTTCAGAGATTGTAGACATGCATGTTATGACTGCCTTAAAATTGTGTGCTTTAAAGGAAGGCTAAATATACATGGCATGAATCAGCTTCAGTTTAAAATGCACACATAAACTGAAATTTTGTATCTCAGGGCTCAGGTGGAAATTCACATTTAGCACTGGCAGAATCATTGCTTTGAGAGCTTATGGTATATTTTCTTCTCCTGTTCAATTTGGAAGGGTGAGAAAAGCAGGGAAACTCCCATCCAAGTTTCCAACCTTGGAAACTTTCTCTCAATTGCTTGAGCAATGAAAATTTCCTTGCACCCATTTCAGGCCTCTTTGAAACAGCCTTGTCAGTTCTGAGCAAGTACTGAAATTGGGTTTCTTGGGGCTAACTCTGCAATACTCCCTGTATTTCTCTGGAGCCTGGAGTTCACAGTGGGAGCTGAGCCTCCCAAAGATGGGGAGTCTGTCCTGGTGCTGAGCCTCGGTGTGGTCAGGCTGCATCCTTCAGGCCTCATCATTCACAGCTGACCCTTATCAGGCTGCATGGGATTAAGTCTGGGATGGGAGACTTTGGCCATTGAAAGAAACCAATAAATCAAGTCAGGTTCTAAGAGGGACCTTAGGGAATGTGATTTAGACCGTGTATCTGGAGAGGCCAGATAAACCAAGGGACCTTTTCCCACTCCTTCACAGTGCTAGTCTGGTGTCAGGCACAGACTCTTAGTTCTGCTGGGTTTAATGGGACCTGGGCCTGGAAGAGAGCCGTGGATTGACTGTCAGGACACCAAGATGTGTGGCCAGGTGGTGGACCGCAGGGATTGTCAGAGAGCTGGCCTGATCCAGGTCCTGGTGGGTGCTGGGGGCAGCAGGGCAAGAGTCCTCAGGTGTGTGCAAAGGCTGCTCTCACCTGGATTTCTCTCTCCTGTCCTTTCCTGCCTTGGCCATCACGGTGCAGGGAGCCAGGTGTGCCGCCCGCCTCTTCTGCATGGATCCCTGCCCTGGCTGGACGGCGGCAAAGCCTTGGGCAGCCACCACACTGCTTCGCCCTGGAACCTCAGTCCCTTCTCCAAGACGTCCATTCACCACGGCTCCCCGGGGCCACTCTCCGTGTACCCTCCAGCCTCATCTTCGTCTCTGGCGGCAGGCCACTCCAGCCCGCACCTCTTCACCTTCCCGCCCACCCCGCCGAAGGATGTCTCCCCGGACCCGTCGCTGTCCACCCCGGGCTCAGCCGGCTCGGCCCGCCAGGATGAGAAAGAGTGCCTCAAGTACCAGGTGCCGCTGCCCGACAGCATGAAGCTGGAAGCATCGCACTCGCGCGGCAGCATGACCACCCTGGGCGGCGCCTCCTCGTCTGCCCACCATCCCATCACCACCTACCCGCCCTACGTGCCCGAGTACAGCTCCGGACTCTTCCCGCCCAGCAGCCTGCTGGGGGGCTCCCCTACGGGATTCGGATGTAAGTCGAGGCCCAAAGCAAGATCCAGCACAGGTAGGAACCACCTCTGCCCTCCTTCTCTTAAATTAGGGCAGGGCAAAGGCAGCTACCAAAGGGGCCCCTGGGGGAGCTGGGGGACTGGGATCCAAGCCCTTCTGAGATTGCTTTCTCCCCATTGTTCCAGCCTGGGGAGAATGAGGTGTGTCCTCCTATCTCACTCCTGTTTTGGGAGGTGGAGGGGAAGGCGGATCTGATTTAAAGCCCTTCAGTAAGCTGGGAAGGGAAAGAGAGGAACTAGCAAAGAGAGAAACAAAAACACTGCAAAACTCTCCTGCCTGTTGCAGGACTTCTGGATTCTGCTGGTAACCTTTAGTCTTGTTTCCAAGACCAAATGGAAGGCGGCGGGAATAAATCTTTAGTGTTTAATGCTAAAACGAAACCTCCTCAAACCTAAACAAACACGGGTCCCCGTGACCCCTGTGGCCCCTGTTAGTCTGAGACTATTCCTCTCTCTCAGCTCAAAGGGGCTCATTCTGTCTATGGCAGAGGACAGTTCTTTAGAGGACAGGTATAAATAAAATGTATGAGTGTGTCACTGAAATTTTGGGGAAGAGACAGGAGCAAAAACAACCCATTTTCTTTGGTGGAAAGGAAAGCCTGAGTTGAACTTTTGAGAGCTGGAGGTGGCTGCACGATGGGGAAGCAGAGTTGAATGGAAGTCAAATGTCGCAAGGCTCAGTTACCTGCACCGTCTTTCAGGGCTTTCAGTGTGGTCAGGACCAGGAAGCTGTATTAGGGCGTATTCCCTCTGTTGATCACAACCTGGAAGACGTAGAGAGGGCAGAAAAAGGTTCTCCAGGTGTATGTTTCTGTTAAGTCTGGTTGTTATTTTTCCAAAGAGCAGCTCTGTCTAATGGCATAGTGTGTATTTATTCTGTTGCTGCAGTCACTTGCATTAAAAGGCACATACACACATAAGAGCAGAATAACCCATCATTGATTTTGTTTCTGGCGGAAGCAGTCAGGGAATCTCTGAGATAAGGCTTACGTGTATTTTGGGGTATGATTTTATGAAGATTGTATTCATTTTAGGGTGAGCCTTTACCTCCTGGTCTACTCCAATTGTCTTGCCTCTGCCCTCTGTCTGTTTGGGTGTTACAAAAAACGTGGTGGTGAAAGTCAGTTGTCTTTTAAGGGTGAGATGAGCAGTCTTGAAAGGGTGCTCCCAGAGCTCTGGGTTGAAACACTTCAGAGGGGAGGGTTCTGGGAGCCCAGTGACCATGAGATCAGTTTTCAGGGTTTTTTCCTAGGGTGACATTCACTCCGACTGCCTGAGCAGGACTGTCTCTATTTAGTTGATATGTTTTAGCTAATCCAATTATTTTCAGACTGCTGCACGCGACAGTTGCATTGTTTATCCCGAGCCAGGAACTTTAATAGAGTCCGGATGCGGTTAGGCTGACAGAAAAGCTCAGACCTGCATGTTCAGTACATGAAAGTAGGCAGGAGGGAGAAGGAGGTAGGCTGGTGGTGGAGTCTGAGAGAGAGAGAGAGAGAGAGAGAGAGAGAGAGAGAGAGAGAGAGAGAGAACAGAGGAAGGAGAGCTGTGGAGCAGAGCAGCCTTGGTGCCTGGCCCGGGACTGGCTGCTTGGGGTGCAGAGGACTGGAGAGAAATGGGGGACAGCTCAGCTTCAGAACAGTGGGCTGGAGGGCTGCATGTGAGGAGCAGACCAGGTCAAAGTGGGATTTTTTTTTTTTTTTTAAAGTTCTCTTTACTGATAGGACCATGAGGTTTGGGGAAGATCCAGGTCTCTGAGGCCAGTGCGGTGGTTTGTGTGTGGGGAGGGGACAGAGTGACTTTTCCAAAAGCCTCTGGTTTCTTTGACCTCATTTCCCTGTTTGATTTCTACCACCCCTGACTGTGCACTCTTTCTGTCTTCAGTTTGGGCTCTCATTTCTTTCCTTAAGACTGAGCAGGAGGCAGGGGGATAGAGCTGGGGTTTCCCTAAAGCTGAGCTGAGAATACCTACAATTTTAATGTTTTGCCAAGGGAGAGAGGAGGCCATTGAAATTTGGGTCTTTACTTCCTCCTTCTTATTCCTTTCTCACAGTCACAAAAAACCAAGAACAGCACACCTGGCCAGTGAGGGAGTTGGGACTTTTGGAGTGTGGAGGGGAACTTTTGAGAAGCTCTGTGTGGAAGAACTGGTGGGAATTCTTTTGGAAGGGATTCTCCTGGGGCTCTCTCTCTCTCTCTCTCTCTCTCTCTCTCTCTTTCTCTGTCTGTCTGTCTGTCTCTCTCTCTGCTCTTTCTCTTGCCAGAGGAGACAGAGAAGAGGGGTTTGTTAGTGTTGCTGCGGCTGCACTTTGGAGAACTGGTAGAAGCTGTGGTGTGGGCATCATGGCTGTCTTACTGCTAGGACTTTCTGAGCTGGGAGATGTCTTTGCAAACAAAAGACAAAAGCCCGTTTTTTTGACTGTAGGCATCTTCCTCAGGGCTCCTCTGAAATCTCCTGTCCTGGACCCTGTTTGCACAGCATAGCACAGCGCAGCACAGCATAGCATCAGGCTTGTCAAGGTTTCAGTCCGAAGCCCAGGGGACGTTTGAAAATGGCTGTTGAATGTCAAAAAGCCTCACAGTTCTGTGGTTCTTGTCACCTAACAGAGAGGTGTCTGCCCAAGCAACTCACTACACACAGGCAGGGGCTAGGAGAGGGGAAGACACACAGTAGTGGCGAGGCGGCCTCCACTAGGAAAATTGGCTGTGGGCTGAAGTCACAGACTGGAGGCAACCAGGAAAAAAGAAAAAGAAAAAGCCCACGCAAGGCAATCGCAAACTTGTGGAGTGAATCAAGACAGAGAATTGCTCCAGTGTGCAGAGCCTGCTGAAGAGCAGCCGTAGCTCTCTGGTACTTTCAAGGGCTTCTGAAAAGGAAGCTGTCATCCTGCCTCTTGACTGACAGAGGAAAGGAGATCCGGAGGTCCAGGCAGACGGGAGATTCCCCTCATGCCAGGGTGCCCAGGAGCTGGCGGCCATCCGTGCTGCTCCTCACAGGGGCCACCCCAGCCTGAGTGGCTGCTGGTGACAGTACTCTGCCGTTTTGCCCCCTAGCAAGGCAGGAACCTAAGAGGCTGTGTCAGAGCAGGATGGGGCCAAGGCTGCTGCCCCCAGAAAGGGGCCGACCCAGGGCCACACTTGCAGCCTCTTGGCTGGGCTGGAGTCAGCACGCCCCCTTTCCTCTCTCCTTCACGCCTCCCCCACATCCAGTCTGCCACATCCCCCAGCTTCTGACCCCAAGTGAAAAGTATGGGGTGTGAGGTACTCCAAGGTTTTTTTTTTTTAGAGAACCAAGAAGAGTTGCTGAGTGCAAAGTTCTTAGATACAAGGAGAGCTTTCTCTAGATCCTGGGTTCAGAAGCTTTTTAAAATCCAGAGATGGGGGAAATCATCACTTAGAAATTGTTGGAAAAAACAAATAAAACAAAAACTACCATCCTGGGCTCAGAGAGAAAGGACTCAGACTGTCTTCCATTTTCTAAGGATTTAAACTTTCCTGCCAAATTTGCCCCTGGAGAAAATCAGAGCCCTTTAAGTGTGAGTGCTATGAGTCCCCTCATTCTTGATCTGGGGCTTTCCAAAGGCCCAGTAGGTCTCAGGCTTGCCAAGGCAGACTTTTCTTCCTTTCCTTTTAAAAGCTTCAGAATTGCCAGGTACCTTTCTAGGTTCTCTGCTCCCATTTCAACCTTCCTGGTGGACTGCTGTTAATTACTAATCTCAAGACAAAGCACCTGTCAGGTTCATCCTTGCCCACCTGCTCTGTGGCCCTCCCACATCTGGGCCTGCCCCAGTGGACCAGCATGGACTAAGCCTGCTTCCAGGTCCCTTCTGAGCACTGAGAGCACCAGGAGCCCCAGGGCATCAGCTGTACCCCAGTGTGGAGGATATTCTCCTGGAAGCTGTCATTCTTTTCCTCCACCAGATATTAGCTAAAAATCACTTAAATTCTCCCAGGGTAACTTAAGGGCTTCTTCTGTGTACTTCCTGGGGGTGGAAATGTGTCCCTCTTTAGCTCCGGTTCTAGGAGAAATTGCTCCTAGAACAAACCCGGGCTGTTTTCTGTTCATCTGGTTTGTGTCACTGGAAGAAGAGAAACTGCACAGCCCATGGCGGGTGAGCCCACCAAGGCCCCGCTGCCTTTGGCTGGCTTGTCTCTTCTGATCTTCAAGCCATCTTCATCCTGTCCCTCTCAGCCCTTCTTTCCCGCCCCTTCTCTGCCTCCTAGTCTCTCTTCCAGGTTCCCCACCCCAAGCCTGCTCTGTTTCCTTTGAGCAACCCCTGGCTGGTCAGGCTGGGGTCAGACTCAACTTTAGTTTCTCGGCTAGTGGCTGGAAAGCTATGGGAAACCTTAGCATTTGTCTAGGTAGAAAAGAAGGTGGGGGATGGGTAGGCCCTGCTTATTCTTAATCTATTACTTTGTGATCAGAAGCATTAACAAGTCTATCAAAAGTAAAACCGAGAGCCCCAGCTATTGATCAGTCAGCCAATTGATTAATTTATACATCTATTTATTATCTGTTTACCTGTTGAGTCACTGATTAATGTTTCCTTTTCACTCATCCTAATCTTCATTATTTAATCGAGCTATACAGACAGAGCTAGTGATGTAATGGGTCACCTTTGTATTTTGTTTTCCTTTGAGGAAAATGTAAGGAATGCTTGGCTTTTGCCACTTTTGGGGCTCAGAATTTTCTCAGGGGAGTATTTTAAGTTGAAATCTGCCTTCCTCCTTTTTATTGTCTGCTTGATTTCCCCACCAAATGAAGTGGGCCAGGAACAAGGTTGTGCTGCTATTTACTAATCTTCCACTTCTTTGGACACAGTGGTTTGTGTCCTGAGAGCAGGTAAACCAGGAATGAAGGGCAGTAACAGCAACTCTGGAGTTTAGCAAAGAGGAAGTGCAGATGGAAATGGCCCCCAAAAGAGGGGGAAGAGAGAGGAGTTTTTAGCTTAACTTCTTTTCTGCTAATTCTAAATGCTGTCTGCCTTCCTGTGTGTTTGCCTTCCATAAGTGACTTATCTGTCTTCTTGTTTCCAGAAGGCAGGGAGTGTGTGAACTGTGGGGCAACCTCAACCCCATTATGGCGGCGAGATGGTACTGGTCACTACCTTTGCAATGCCTGCGGGCTCTACCACAAAATGAATGGACAGAACCGGCCGCTCATCAAGCCTAAGCGAAGACTGGTAAGTCCTTATTGGAAGAACTGATCCCATGTTAAGTGTTTTGTGTTTGTATTTCCTCTGTCCAGGAGGGAGGATTCTCTGCAGGAAATTGGCAGGGCTACTCCAATCATGTCAACTTGCTCAGGACAGCTTTTCTTTTTCAAATTAGTTATACAGCTGGGCATTGTGGTGCATGCCTGTCATCCTAGGACCTGAGGGACAGAGGCAGGAGAATCATGACTCCCAGACCAGCCTGCGGTATATAGCATAACCTTGTCTTGAAAAATAATATAAACAATTAGTAATGCAGAAAAACTATTTTTTTCCCTTATGTTCCTTAAATAACTTCTCAAATTTTCAAGGCTGCAATTCTAGATTATTGCATCTGAAATGTATTCTCCAATAGAACAGTTAGATTTTAATAGAAACAGGTTGACTGATTTAAAGTACAGCAGTAATCACTGTGTCTCAGAGAAATTTAGTATAAGGATGGAATGTCCCAGGGAGCACTGGGAACATGCTCCGGAAGTAGTTCAAGGTGGGCACTGCGGAAGTAATCAAACTCATTTCTGTGGGTAACTCTCTTAAGCTACTGCTTTAAGATTAATGGGGCCAGCTACCTAAATTTAAGAAGCAGCAAGCACTAAGGTGATTGCAGTTTTTTCTTTCCTTGGTCTTAGGAATTGAGAATTTCTACAAGTTAATTCCTGTGAGACAAGTTTGTGATTCCTCTCTTGCTTGTTGGGCTCACATAGCGTTTGGTCTTATTTTCTGTTTGAGCTAATATCAGTAGAGTGATAGTCCCCCCGCCCTCTAGCCATCCTGTTCCTCTTTCTCCTTTCTTTTTTAAATTTCTTGATCATTAGGAATACCTGAGAAAACCTGGCACTGTCAAGTAGGAGGGGTCTATTTGTAAGCTTATCTTTGGAACCTTAGGGCAAATAGAATATTGAGTGTACGGAACAGTGACAAATAAAGCAGGCTTGGCAGATGACAGCTAACCACAGTCAGGGATCAAAATGCTTTTTGTGGTGCTGAAATTCACCAAGTGCAGAGAGGAGGAGGGGAATTTCCCTTTGCAGACTAATGGATGAATTAGCAACCATCAAATTCTAAAGAAGAAAATAGCCTCTGTATTTTTTTTTTAAGCATTATTTGTCTGCTCCATCAGATTGTAGTGCAATTTAACACCTTTTACATCCTCTTTAGAGAAAGGAAAAACTTTCTAGGGATGGAAGTACCCACATGACTTTAATTTTTGGCAATCCTAGATCTCTAGACATTATTCTTTCTGATCTTTGCCCCTTCTCCAACTTTCTCAGCCTCCCCCACTTCTCTTGCAGTTTTTTTTTTTTTTTCCTTTCCCTCATGTACAAAGCTAACTTCCTAGGAAAAAGCTGCCGGATATCTGAGCACTAGAGATAACTCATAAACAACAACTCAGCTTCCCCAACCTAAACATCAAGATGTTTGGACGGATCAGAACAAGAAGTGTTTAAAAAAAATGACTGGAGGTGTAGCACAGAATGAATGTGATCACACCATGAAAGAATGTTCTGAATCACTCAAAACCTGGCCTTAGGAGGGAGGAAAGAAAGAAAGAAAGAAAGGAAGAAAGAAAGAAGAAAGAGTTGTTAAAAATAACTCATAGTACTATAATGGTATTTTTTTAAGGTAAAGATAAGAAAAATGAGGGGTAAACATCTCGTACTGTAGACTGATATATGAGCAAAGTTTGTTTGACTGCAGAGGAGGGTTTGCTTCCGTTTTATATAATTTTGTCTCCGCTCACCTTTCCTAGGAAATCTGTAGAACTCTGGGTAAGAATTGCTTTTAACTCTAGAGTTCAGTGACTGTCACATTTTAAGCTGTCTTTTCTATCTTAATCATCTGTCCTGAGTGGTTTGATATTTTTAGTTCCACAGAATTCATAAACTGTGGAGAGACATTAAGAGGCTTTTTTGTTGTTGTTGCTAATTAGCTCTTACGTATATTTGACTTCTGCCCGCATAGGCTTTCATTTTCTGCTTTTTTCTTGGTGAACTTGTGCATGCTAAGCATATGCTCTCCCCCCGGGCTACACCCTGAGCCCCAGAGCCTCTCATTTCCTATACTTTTTGTGTCTTTGGGTCCATCTTTCCATTTTGGTGTTTTTGTTTCACACCTTTAAGAAGTCACTTAAGACCACCCAATCCCTAATGTGACTAACTCTTCTGTGAGATGTGTACTGGACACTGATACATTAATGCAGGGAATAGGAGAGATGATTGAAGGCCAAATCCACAAACGCCTCCACCCCTCCAGTATTACCAGGGTTTTCATAAGTCTCATATCTTGCACAAAGCTGAGCAATCTGCTTTATTAATATACTCTGCTCCTGCTAGAGAACCAAGCAGCATGGCCTTGAGAGACCCTGTGTAAGTTTGCATAAAGTCTGTAGCACTGAAAACACATTCTGAGCCTGTTTGTATTTGTTACTTTCTCTTTTTAAAATATTTATGTTATTTTCAATCTTGCAAAGGATTACATACTGAACCTTATTGTTCAGAAGTCTTTACTTTTAGCGACTGGCATTATGTTTGTGTTATATATTCAGAATTGTGTGGGGAGAGCTGAGTGCCTGAGTAGATATTAGTCTGTTAAATCTGAACTTTTTCTTTTCAGAAAAACAGAACTGCAGGAACATAATAATAATCACATGTGACATTTGTTAAAAATCATTAAGCATTAATTTATGTAGCACTTTCTTCCTAAGAGTACACAAGTGAAACAGTTATTTAAGTACTTTCTGCCTGGCAAGTGCAAGGTCTTGAGTTTGATTCCTGATACCAAAAACAAAAACAAAACCCAAGTACCATCACATTTCATAAAGGCAGGTGGCCATTGGCCTGCGGAATTAGACTTTGCATTCTCAGATTTTGGTGAATTATGTTCAAAACGGACAGCCCCAAAGATAGCACTTTCTCCATTATGAGAGATAAAGCCCGTTTTTAATTCCCATTTCTTTAGAGTACAGAAAAAAGAATTTCTTCAAAATAAAAGAAGTTAGTGCACTGCTACTTAAAGCCTGAAAAGACATATCTATGGAACAATATAGTGGCTGTGGTAGTCTGGTTAATTCAAAATTGCTCCTGGGGCTTTTATATCTGGCAGCTCTGTGTGCTTGGTCCAGCTTTTTGTTTGGCAAAATTTTGATAGAAAAGAGCATCAGGATCCCTGTAGTTTTTGCTCCATGATCTTGTATCAAGATTTCCTTGTTTCCGCTTTTCTCTCTTGCTGCCCCCTTTCTTTCTTCCCTTCCCTCCTGCAGATCAAACCCAAGATCTCCTCCACACTAAGCACTGAGTTTAACACTTAGCTACTCCACCAGCCCACACACCAGAACGTTCTTGACCTCAGATAAAGACTAGTCTTTTCTTTGACAGTAATTTGCATCCAGAAGCAAAAGTAATTTTGGAGTTAAAGGTTTTGTTTCGTGGTAGATGATGAGGCTGGGGAGGAAGGAATATGTTAGAAGCAATTCAACTCCATTTTCTTTCAATAGTATTAAGTTTGACTTTTGTTTAAAGTGTGGATATCACATATAGTCTCCTGATAAACTTAAATCAAAAAGTGAGGGATAAAAAAATCCCATTTTAAAGAAAATGAAGGTAGTAGGTGGCGCCTAAGGAATTAAAATGTAAATCAAGGCTGACCTTTGTATTTTAGGGGTAGACTAGAGATTAAACTCAGGGTCTTTGCACTGAGCTACATTCCTATCTTTTAAAAATTTTTTTTCTTTTGAGACAAGATCTTACTCACTATTTTAGGGTGAGTTTGAATTTCCAGATCTCCTGCCCCAGCCTCTCAGAGTGGTGGGATTATAAGCATTTGCCACCATGCCTGAAGCTTTTCTCCTTGGTAAGAAGCAAATAGGAAATTCCTAATTTCATGAAGGTGATATGAGATTAAAGCAAGAGGAGGTCCAGAATTTTGGCTGAAGAGAAAAATTACTTATTTTTTTGAGTTCATCTCGTTAAATGATGGTCACTTAATCCAGGGGGCCAGGGTGACTATCCTAGGAAAGGTCAGTGATCAAGGTCTTAATTGTGGAGTGTGTGAATTTAGGCCAGCTGCAAATTGGATGAGGTCTTGTTGACATCAACTGTCTAGTTGGGTGCCTCCTAGATCCTGTCACCGATTAGTGTCACGTACACATACAGACATCTCAAAATGCTGGTACTATGCTGTACCACGCTGTTTTCTCTCTTTATACTCCAGTCTCTTGGTCTGGGATTTAGCAAGTATTTGCTTTCCTTGTTTGGATTTCCTCTCCCTTTGCTGTTCTTATATCCTGATGGCTAATTGAAGATTGATGTTCTCAGAACTTGTATTAGAAAAAGATCTCTTATTGGCCTAGGTTTGAAGAATAAAATGACTAAAAGCCAGACAGTAAAGTTAGTCTGGCAAATTCAGAATTGCTGCTCGTAAATCGGTGTGCTTCATGGGGTGGAGGGAAGGGGTGATACAGGCAAGAGGTTAAGTTGCTATCACCCTGTACGCTCGCTCCTATCCAGTGGCTTGGCTGCATTTTTCTTCTCAAGACAATTTGGGGATCTTTATTACTTTCATGTGGGCCACTTGCTAGTTTTGATTTCAGTGATAGTTCTGTCTTTTCTTCTCTTTTTTTTCCAAGCTCATCTGTCTGCATGTTTCTGACAGCATGTTTAACGTTTGTTTTGATTTTTCTCCTCCCCTCCTCCCCACCCCCAGTCAGCAGCAAGGAGGGCTGGAACGTCCTGTGCAAACTGTCAGACCACCACTACCACCCTCTGGAGGAGGAACGCCAACGGGGACCCCGTCTGCAATGCCTGTGGGCTCTACTACAAGCTGCACAATGTAAGTGGGCCCGGAAGCAGCAGGAACAGGCTCCCTCTCCAGCAATGCCCGATAAATCATGTCCCAGGTCCCTTTGCAGAGCTCCTGATGCACCTAAATCACCTTCCTTTGGGCTGAGTCATGGGCCTCAGTTAACTAAGGCGGGAGGGAACTACTTTGTGTTAGCCTCGCCAAGACCAAAAGGGCTCAAAGACAACCCACTTAGTATGTGTGGAACGCACTATCCGCGATGCAAGGAATCCGATATGCTGTGTGGACCTGTCTATTTTTTTAAGGGGGGGGGGGGAATCTTTCTCTTGGAAAAAACACAAAAGTCACCAGTTCTGTGTTGATCTTTCCTTGCATTTTAAACTTCTTTGCAAAGAAAGCGAGAAAGAGAGAAGAGGGGCTCGCTTGAGGGAGAAAGTAAAAGAGAAAGGTAAATAGAATTGTCATGCGTGGCACAGTGATTCCTGAACACAGAGGGCCCATTCAGTGACTGTGGTGGTAAAGAGTCTTGGCTGAACCTGCGCCGTGCAGTTCCGGTGGGCTCTGTGTGACAGATGTGAGATGAGACGTCTGTGAGATTCCATCTGATGTCTGTCCTACCAGATTTCCCAGGCTGAGAACTCCTGAGGGCCACGTGGGTGAGATCTTCTCACGGCAGCCACGGAACTCCTGCTCTTTTCTTCCCTAGCACCTTAGCAGAATGACAAAATGATCACCCAGCTGTGTTTAGTGGTACTATTTCTAATCTTTTAACTCAGGGGCCAAAATTTTTTCCCCCATCAATTTTGTTATGTCTTTACTTTAAATTATTTCCCTAGAGTTTTTCTTTGTTTGGAAGCAGTTCCAGCTTATAGGCCATGATCTGAATAAGGCCTTGAGTTTACATTAATCCCAAAGCAGAAACTGGCCTTTTTCTTTCTGTCTTTCTCTGCTTCCTTTAGCTTTTTTTTTTTTTTTTGTCTTTTTCGTTTTTATCGGTACCAGGGATCGAACTCACGACCGCCTGCTTATAAGGCAGGTGCTTACGCCGCTGAGCTAAATCCCCAGCCCTTCCTTTAGCTTTTTCTGGTTCTCCAAAAATCTCCTTTCTAACCTCACGTTGGCAAAGTCTGGGATTGAGGGGGAGAGGTAGAAATTTCTTGCTTGGGGCCCTTCTGGCAGTAAATTCATCTTACCTGGGAACTGGGGCGGAAGCTTTTCTGTTTAGATATTTTGAGTCATGGAGAATTTCTCAGCGTAAGCACTAGCACACCACTCCTTTTTCATTTATTGGAAACCAGTTGTCGAGATTCCCAGGGATCTTAGAAACTCTTCTGCCTACCTTCAGTGTCATTATCTCCTGACATGGTCTCTGTGTAGTGCCCAACATAACGATCTGTTGTGCTCCCACAGATCCTGGAGCTGTGGTATCGTACGCACGTTTATCAGCAATGAAACCCGTACTTTAGTTTCACTTTGGGGAATTTACTTGCTCATTGTAATATAGATAGAAGGATTCGTGATTAAAAACACTGGCAGACTGGGGTATTAGTGTTTATTTGTAATCCAGTCACCAGTGTAGCCTCGGAAGTTATTTTTTGAGTTCAATTTATGACTTTCTAAGAACTTTCATGTTACTGGGTCACATTTGAGCCTCAAAGAGTTCCATGATGTAACAGAGGAGAAATTCTTTTTACTTCAGTTTTACTTGAAGAACTTATGACTCAGAAAAGCAAGTTGCCTGTGCAAGATAATGTGGGTGACACAGGAGAAGCGTCAGGATGGATTTCAGAGCGGCATTCTTCTTTCCGGGGGGACCAGGAGCATCGGGAGTAGAAGGAGGGGTCTGGAAAGTCAATACTGTTTTAGTAACGCCATAAGGAATCAGGCGTGTGTGTATGTTTCTTGCTGTTGCCATGAAAGTGTAGTTATTATGAGAAATTAATTAGCTCTACTTTTGTTGAACAGTCAGGATATGACTTGACTTGTATCCAATTTAGTATCTGTATGTTTCTGAGAAATATGATTTTTTTCCCCGGTGGTGCTGAGGGACAAACCTAGACAATTGCTCTACACCTCCAACACACTGAATTTTTCAAATTAAAGAAAAACCAAGACATCTCCAATGCTCACGGCCCACCTTACCCTTCCTTAGCTCTGTCTGCAGGGCTGAGCTCCAGTGACTGGGAGACTGTCCTCTTTATGCTTTTGCTGTCTGTAGTGATTCGTCAGAGGAAGCGATTTAAATGTGTGTTTTTAACAATATGAGATAATAATCTATTACCGTTTTCACGGTGTCACGTTCTGTTCTGCCCATGCAAATGTCTACACAGGCTTGCCACAAGCTGCTTTCTTATCGGGGAGTCCAGATAATTGTCTATCTCAGCATCAGCGTATCTAGGTGGTGTTGTGCCTAGTTATCTGGGGCTGTGTGGCTATCTGTGTAACTAGATATTATATTTAGATATCTGGCAGTGTGTATCTAGCTATCAGCGTACAGAACAGTGTATCTGGACATTATCTCGGGGAAGACTTGATGTGGGAGTAGATTCCTGTCATCTGTGTAGCCTGCATCTTTATCTTGATGATGACTTGAAGAAGGAACCCTGAGCCTCTCTCCTGGCAGTGACTTTCCTTGGCTCTTCTGCTGCTATGCATGTCAGCTTCATGGCACAAGGATGGGGTACTAAGGTCTCAGCTCTAGTGTAGGGCTCTGTCCCCCTCTCAGGTATCATCTCCCCAGCTTCAGGAAGCTGGTGTTACGGAGTCTGGGAGTTAGGTCCTTCATGGACATTTGGGATTCTTTTTTCCTTAACTGGAATTTTCTAGTAGACAGGTGGAACTTTTCTTCATCCTGGAAGTCTGGCGGAAGGGCTGTTTCCCCGTAGGAAGTGTGGACTGACTGGGCCTCCAACAATCACTCCTTGCGTCTCTGCCGCATTTCCCTGGGAACATGGCCAGATGTGCAGTTGGCTCTTGGCGGCAGATGTGTGCTCTTGAGGTTGACTTGACTGTGGCTCTGTGGGAGGAGAAGCTTCTGCTTGCTTTGTAAAGTTCCAGATCTGGCTTCTGAGCCCCTGGAGCCGATATATTTACAGAGGACAAATGAAGTTTATCAGAAAGCCACAGACAGCAAATTGTGACAGAGAGAAGCCTGTCATCTTTAGTGTGGGGTCTTGCTACTGAATCTTCACTTTGTTGAATCCTTGGGCTGAAATCCTTAGGATGATGCACTTTTATGCTAACAAAGTGCCCTATATCCCAGAAGAGGGTATAAGCTACATGTTGATTGGTTGTTTAGCTCTTGGTCTAGTTAGACCTGGGGAGAAGTAGAAACTTCTAACCACTGAAGTTTCTGTCTGGTGATACAGTCAAAGGATTACCTTTGGGGAAGCAATGTTGTACTAAAACAGGCCCTAGAGCATACACATTCGAGGAAAATTTTTAGGATACTTGTCACTGCAAAAAGGAGAGGTGGAAGAAAAGCAACCAAAAACTTCTTTGTAAAGAGGTGCACCCCAGTTTCTCCAGGGCAGTTAGACTTCAACACCTGAAGACTGATTACTTTGGCAGTGCTTTTCAGGTCATGGAATTTTCAGACTAATAGGCAAAAAGAATTTCCTTTTGGAAGTTTCCACAACAGTCTGTATTCTTATGAAATATTCTGGGGAAATGGTAATGAAATAAGGCAAGTTATTCTATTTTAGTTACATGAGAAACATAATCATGCTAAGTGGGTCCCTGAAGATGCCAGATGTCCCCAAGCTCTTGATGTGATGAACTTGATAAGCTGTGCTTGCAGCTTAGGCTCTCTGGTCTCTGTAGGCTATCAAAGCTGTCAGAACCCCCTCCCCGTGAGACCTAGCACAGCTCCTCAGAGTCCTGGAAAGGAGGAAGGAATAGGTGGGGAGAGGAGGGAAGGAAGGAGTCCCTGAACCGAAACAGACCCCTGGCCCGAGCCAGCTGCAGGGCCTGCCCGCTTTGCTGTGTGAAAACCTGTACCATTTCAGAGGCAGCATAAAAGTAAAAAAAAAAAAAAAAATTGATCTTTGTTTAGATTAACAGACCCCTGACTATGAAGAAAGAAGGCATCCAGACCAGAAACCGGAAGATGTCTAGCAAATCCAAAAAGTGCAAAAAGGTGCACGACACGCTGGAGGACTTCCCCAAGAGCAGCTCGTTCAACCCGGCCGCCCTCTCCAGACACATGTCCTCCCTGAGCCACATCTCCCCCTTCAGCCACTCCAGCCACATGCTGACCACGCCCACGCCCATGCACCCACCGTCCGGCCTCTCCTTCGGACCTCATCATCCTTCCAGTATGGTCACCGCCATGGGCTAGAGCCCTGCTCAAGGTGCACAGGTCTCCGAGCGAGTGAGCAAGCGAGAGTCCCTCCAACCCCTTCTACTTGCGTTTTTGCAGGAGCAGTATCATGAAGCCTAAAAGAGATGGATATATGTTTTTGAAGGCAGAAAGCAAAATGATGATTGCCACTTTTGCAAAGGAGCTCACTGGGGTGTCTGTGTTCCAACTGCTGAATCTGGATCCCATTTGTGAATAAGCCATTCAGACTCATATTCCCTATTTAACAGGGTTTCTAGTGCTGTGAAAAAAATTGCTGAACATTGCTTATAACTTATATTGTAAGAAACACTGTACATTTGAGGAAGACTTTATTGCACCTGAGTAGCTGTAAGAAAGGCATGAAGGACGCCAAGAATTTTAAGGAATATAGGGGAAATAAAGTATGGAAATTCAGAAGAAAATAGATCTGACATCCAGGTGGACAAACTGCCAGTTTTGTTTCCTTTCACTGGCCACAGTTGTTTGATGCATTAAAAGAAAAAGTATATATAGAGAGAAAAACAAAAAAAGAAAAAAGAAAAAAAAGAAAAAAGAAAAAAAAAAAAAAAAAAGAAAAAAATCGTAGCAAATCATTCATTCAAAGCTGTGGACCTCTGCAAAGGAAATACCAGTCCGGGCAATCCGTGTTAAAGCTCACAGATTGCTGCAGAGGGTTTTGAGGTGTCACTTCTAGGCCTACGTGCTTTGTGAACCAGTCTCTGTAATTGTTGTTTGTATGTATAATTCAAAGCACCAAAATAAGAAAAGATGTAGATTTATTTCATCATATTATACAGACTGAATTATTGTACAAATTTATTTACTGCTAGTGTTAAGAATTGCTTTTTTTTTCTTCTGATTTTAATGTTTTCCTTCTCTCAATTTTCAGTTGAATAAACTAGATTACATTCAGTTGACCTAAGGTGGTTGTGCTCTGGAGGGTTTATTTTTCCCTTTTGCTTTGGATGATATTTATTAAATAGCTTCTATGGCCCAGCAGTATCTGCCCTCTCCCTCGTTCCTCCTGCAGCCTGAGCTATAAGGGTAGCAGCGTGTGAGCTACCAATGTGTGCATATGTGACCCTGGCCGATGGGTTGTGTCCCCGAGCAGCCCGGCTCACTGTTAGCCCCTGCCGTGTTCCGTGTTAGTGGTCACTGCCTTTACACAGTCTGTTGGAATAATACAGAAATAATAAAGTTAAACTATTTTAAAACAGCAAAATAACATCATATCAAAGCAATGGCCAAGCTCTTACAGAATCTGGTAGCTCCAGCTAATTTAAGAGATAGGAATTTTTCTAAAAAAACAAACAAACCCAAAAACAAGAAACAGCACAATCAAACAGACATGTTAAGTTATTCACTAGGAGCCAGTGCTTATCTCAGACAGGTAACATCTATTCCTCTGGGAAGAGAAACCCCAAGTAGCCCAGAGGAAATTATTCTAGGGCGGAGCAACTTCTGGGGTCTCCCTGTGAGCTACAGTTTCTCTGCTGGTTCTCCACTCTTCTCCAAGAAGGGAGAATTTCCTGGCTGGGAGAGTCACAGGCAGAAACTGCAGCCGGTGGATTGCTCTTTGGATTGTAGAGGAGCTGGGCTGCCCTTGATTTCTGTTCTGCTTTTCCACTGTGGAACAACACCACAGTGAAAGGTTTATTGGAATGTTTGCGAAACATGAAATAACCATTTTGTAACTTATACTGTATAGTTTCCTTTTACTCTGTTGACAGAATGTGTAACTATGGCACACATTTAAAAATCTCTGTTAATCGCCTCTCTGCTTTCTTAGTAAATATTTTAAACCTAAAGCTAAATGTTGAAATAAAGGAGTAGAGAATTACTGAGATGCAAATGGCGATCTCACTGACTCCTAATTCATGACCTGTAATTCAAACGTTGTTTCCAATTCCTTTCGAAGCACCAAAGGAAATAATCACGTCTTGCCATATTAAGCCTGGGAGATTTTATTGTATAGTTCCATGTCTCAGGATTCCCCACCTCTTTCTTCATGAACAGATTGAGTTAATGCCCTTTCACCTTAAGAACAGGGAGTTCAAATTCTTGACATTCTTGGAGTGGAGAGAGAAGGGGCACACGGAAAAATCCCGAAGCCAGTACCTCTCCTAAGTTTCGTTTTAGGTGCCACAGCCATAATGGCACATTTCACTTTATTCATTCTTCAGAGAGATGTGAATACATTCTTCATCACTGTGCACATTGATTTAACCTTCTACATGTTCCTAAAAGACGATGCAAAAACTTTAAAACATATTATGTATCTACAGTGAGAACAGTGATCCCATTTCTTTAGAATTTATGTTTTTCTGGCTTCAACAGTTTTGGTCCTTTAAATGTTCTTTCTCTTTTAAATATAAAACAGTGGAAGAGCAATATTAGCAAGGGGTTAAGCTAGCAAAGTAGGACAAGATTGTCGATCTAAAGCAGTTAATGTATTTTTCAGTAAACTTCCCCAATTAATTTTCTATGTTTTATTTTACTTTTGAAATAGTTGCATTACTTTATTCACAGAAGAATATTTGAAAAAAAAAAGTGGGATGTTTTTGAGAATACATCATAATATGAGTTCGTTCTGTAAAATATTTTAAAAGCTAATAGAAAAACTAGCTCTGCTATTTATGAGCTCATGTATCTAAAGGTAGAAGTTCCTAAAGTAAAAGTTTCAAATTTAAACACTTCTTTCCTTTATTTGAATATCTTTTGAGTGTCTAGGTTGAAGTTGATTTAAAACCACTTTTTAAATTCATATATATATTTTAAAGGAATATCAGGCAATAGAAAAACTAAGACTTTGTAATTGTTACCCTGCCGTTTACATTATTATTCCCCTATAGAATGAAGCTCTGAGTGTGTCCCCAAGCAGGAAGCTTGTGATGAAATTGGGGAGACCCAGAATCTACTTTCTGAGATCAGTGTCTGTGTTCTAAGGTTTAAGAATGATTTTTACAGCAGATCCTCACCATGAGATTTCATTATAGGATTTCATAAGCCTAAAACTGTGTGAAAGGGAATGAATTGTTTCCAGGGATTGCCTGGCTGGAGTTTAGTAAACACCTGCTCCCAAAATTCAAACTAACTCAGATGCAATCCATCGCCTACCCTTGAAGTTTCTTCTCACAGTGGTAAATAGTCCTATTTACATTTCAAAGATTTAGCAGCATTATTATTGCATTTTCTCTTTTGTTCTAGTCCCTTGTCCCATATCCTTAGCCCCAAATCCACCTCATATCCTAGAGCCATTTTTGTGATCCTTCCAGGACAAAAGCTACTGCTGAACCCTCAACGTTTCCAAGCTAAGGAGAGATTAAAAGACACAAGGAAAAATCTGAATGAGGGCCTGTTCGTTCTTTCATTCGTGGGACAAAAATTTTAGCCATTTTTAAATTAGCTGAGTACCCCTGACCATTCTCCTGCACTCTGAACTGAACTGTAAAATATTTTCATTTGGTTGATATGGTTTAGCTCGAATAGTGTGAATATATCCTTACATTTGACCTCGTCCCAGGGCCCTGGGCAACCTTTGTAGAGTCCAGGACAGGGAATTCCTTGGAATTCAGGGGAACTTGGAGCATGTTGTGACAACTATGCCGGAAGTCTAGAAAGCAGGGCTTCATGCTTGGCTCTGCTGATAATTTGTAGAAAGATCTGAGGCCACCGTTTGATATTTCTGGAAGTGGGAGGCTTATCTATATGTTTATGATCTGTAAGACCTATTTGAGAGAAAAAAAATACCATGATGCCATTGGCGTTTTTTTGTTTGTTTTTGAGAATATTGTTTATTAGGAAAGATGAGAATTTGGAAAGTGGTGTTTGAAAGGTCTGTAGTAATAGCAGGTCATCCATAAGGTTCCAGTCAGGTCAGGGTACACCTCCTCCTATCTGTCCCTGCTGCTATCTTGTGAAATACAAATTAACTTGTATTTTCTGATTGTCATCCCCAGACTAGAGTCAGCGCCTCCGTCTTTGGATTCTCTGTGCTTTCTGAAATGAGTCCAGGCTCCTCTCGAGTTGAATACACAGGACTTGCTTGTCCTGCTGATTTTGGCAGCCTGGTCCATAGTTCTCTCATCCATTGTGTAAAGAAATTCTGCCTGAATTGCTTACAGGCTATTCTCGGGATATAGCCAGAGTCCACCCTTTCTTCTTCCTTGTCCTCTTTCTCTTTCCCTTTGCAGAAAGGGATGAACAGAGGAAGTGGATCAATGCTCAAAAGCAGTGTTCCTTTCAGGGTGCTCTATTAGATCCAGATATCCCCAGTCCCTTCCTGAGCCCCTTTGCAGGGGACCCTGGTCCATTAGCTACATTGTCTGTGGCGCATTTTCGCAATCCCCTGTCATGTCTGGGTGCACAGTTTGGCAGGCTATGCGCTGGCCTGGGGATTTGGACCGGGGGCCACTCCTCCACCCTGCCCCCCACTGATCTCAGGCTAAGCAGAGGTCCTGCACTCTGAAGCTCATCTTCCTGCCCCTGGGGAGGGGCCTGGTCCCCAGCCAGAGCCCACAAAGTGCTGCGTAAACACCTGGAGGGGAGGTTGTGTTTCTCAGGAAGTAGCTTTGGGCCTAGAAGGGTACATACAGTTTAGGGGTGTAGACTAGAGATACCAAGCCCCTGGCTCCCAGAACTGCATCCTAATTCAGTGACTTGGTTTCATTTGCAGTGAAAGGGGACCTCACTGCAGAGCCTTGTTAACTACCAGGTAATCTGGGAGGAAACCAGTCTATCTGGGTTATTCTAGGGTGGGGAGTGGGAGGTGTGAAGGAAGACCTGTGGGCATAAGAAACTTCTAGAAAATGAAAGTTTTGTTTTCTTTCTTTCTTCTATTTTTTTTCTGGTGATGAAATTAGTGAACACTGCTGGGTGTGGTGGTACATCCGTGCAATCTCAGCACTTTGGGAGGCTGAGACAGAAGGATGAAAAGTTTGAATGCAGTCTGGGCAACTTGGTGACTTAGTGAGACCCTGTCTCAAAATAAAAAATATAAAAACAGATGGGGGTGTAGCTCAATGCAAAGACTCTGGGTTCAATTACTAGTACCTGTGGGGGATCGGGAGAGAGAAAAAAGAAAGAATTTAATACTCACCAATCAAATTTGTAAATTTCCAAAAGTTCTTTTACATTTTTTTTTTTTTTTTAAGAAACCGGAGGAAATAGATTTTCCTCATTTCTATTGAATTGGCCATGAGTACTCAGTCTAACAAGAATCTTCACGAATCTGACAGACGGGTGGGAGTAGGTTTGGGGGTGGCTTGAGGACAGCTTTGCTTTTGTAAGGGTCATTAAAACTCCATTTCATGAACTGGAAGCGGTAGTTAAATAAAAGTCACCTTGTAAAAGGCAGCCCCTCCCCCGCCCCAGTCGTTAAGGACGGCTCTGCCCCTCCTGTTGGGACCAAGTCCCCAGGCAGACCAGGGCCTGACAGCAAGCAGCTCACTGGGCTTCAAAGGTGTCCCCAGCTCTGGCCACTGCTGCAGCCCTCGCAGCAGGACCGCCCGGTCCGGCTCCCGTGATACCCTGACAATCCGAGTCTGGTATAGAGGTCCCTCCACTATGGCTTGCCTGTACACCTGAGCTGACATGGGACACGCACGACCACCTTGCTGGCCTCTTTGACCAGCTCTGGGGTCCCCCCCTGCTGCTCAGCAACCCCGAGGACTTTACAGGAGAATTCTAGTTTCCCAGTGGTGACTGCCTGGCTTCACGCTTCCAAAGTCTTGGGGTCCCTGCCAACCTCCTGGAAGTATGGGGACTTCAACAAAGGCAGGGTGCCTACTGTTTGTTTGGTCAATCCTTGGGACCAGCTTAGACCTGACAAAAAAGGCCCTCAATGGAAACCCCAACTTTATGGAACCTGGCCGGCTTGCCCAGCCTGCCACATACTGGACAGGCACAAGTAAGAGCCACACATTCTGTTGAGCTGTGCCAGGCTGCCAGGCTGTTGGGCACAGTGCTCATCCCTTTGGTCGGCATTTCTCATTCTGCTCTGGGAAAAGCTCTGTAAAGTAGGAAGATTATTACCTCTATTTTATGGTTTAAGACAGTTTGAGGCCAGGCGCGATAATGCACACACTAGTAACCCCAGGACTCTGGAAGGCTGAGGCAGGAGGATTGCAAGTTCCATCCCAGCCTCGGGCAACTCAGTGATGTAGTGAAACCCTGTTTAAAACAAAAGGCTAGGGGCATAGCTCAGTGAGAATGAGCTCCCCTGCCCCAGCCAACTGTGAGGTAGAAAAGGCTGGCAACTTGCCCAAAGTCACACATCTGCTGAGTGGCAAAGTGGAGCCCTGTGCCCGCCAGAGCCCAGAGCTTGCCCTACCTGACAAGGTTGAGACATGAATAAGGGATCCTTGCTGAATGCTGTGACTAGCACATTGCGCCTGGCTTATCGGATGTCCCTATATATTTTGTTAAATATGCTAATGTTTTTCTGTTCTGAACATAAATAGCCCCCTTTCTCTGCAAGCAATCAAACTCATCTGCTAGATATAGTGGCTTCCAAACTGACCCAATTTTTTTAAAGTACTGGAGATTGATTCCCAGACCTTCACACTGAGCTACAAACTTAGGACCCCACTTCCGCCCCTTTTAATTCTTTAGAGACAGGGTCTTTCTAAGTCACTGCATTGCCCAAACTGGGCTCACACTTGCATCTTCCTGCCTCAGCCTCTTACAGTACTGTGATTCCAGGTGTGCCCCTCTGTTCCCTGCCTACCCTGGCCCAGTCACGTTAGGTGGTAGGCTGTGAAGGGTGTGTCAGGCAGACAGAGGTGGGACAACTGATCCCCTGGGCCCCCAAGATCTTTTTCTCCTAGGCAACTCTTCACAAATAATCGAGCT